GCCCAAGATTGAGCAACCGGCCACCCCCTTGTGCATTCAGGTTGCTCCTTTCCAGACACGCGCATTCATGGCACGCCTTCTTTCCCAGGTCAACTCGCTTGAAATGCACGCGAGCATGGCGGACGGATCGGAACGATTGTTGACGGGCACGCGGTATGCACATTACAAGGTGGGCGCCTACATCACGCACGCCAACGCCAAGTCTGCTTGTTGCCATACACATAGCACTCACCTCTCGCCGGACAGATGCAAATGCGACTCAATGCTACAGCTCCCACCGCCAATGGTAGCATGGCTCTGCTCAAATCCATGGAGGACCCTACTCAAGAGACCCGCATCTTTGTAACGGCCATTGAAGAGCAGCGTTGCAGTGATACGCCCATTGTTGCAGGCACGCGTTCAATGCGCCCCGTGCACCAACAACAGTCCATTGTTTGCAATGTCCAGCACAGGTTGCAGCACTGGACACTTATCCGACCTGGGCGCACTGTAACTTGCAGGCGTGGATCACCCAGGGAATGACATCAAGGGTGTGCCATTGTCTGGAACTACCAACACCTCTGTCTACTGTCGCGAGGTATGCAGTGTCGGTACAGACCTTGCCCCGCCAAGCCACACTGACATCCACTGGTGGCTCGTTGTGCTTGGATTCAGCTTTGCTGCAACACATCGGGCTGCCAAGGGTTTGTGTACGTGACCGCACAGCCCGGAAGCGGGACACCTACGTGCTGGCTCAAATCAAAATTGTCGAACCCACAACCACTGGCGGTGCGTATGCTTGCCACACGGGTCTTGCATTTATCGGCATGCTTCATCACCATGGGATGGCCAAACGTGGAGATATTTGTGAGATGGCTTCGCCTTTTGCACGAATGTTAGGTGGCTTACTCGGGAGTCGTGGCCGCGCCAACCGTGGTGGTTGGCTTGGACACGAGCAAGTAAGTTTGTTTCAGGTTGCAAGCGGTATTTCATGACCGTTGCCACCGATACCAACTTGCCTGCCTACCGTGTTTTGTGCCAATGGGTTTCACAATCTTTGTCAAATTTTGCTCTACTTAGAAGCTCAAATCGCACCGACGTGCCCAAGATGATTGTCTCGACGCGACTGTCTGCGAGTACGTCTGGCATTGGCGGATAAATTGGGATCAGGCAACAAGCGGCAAAATGTTTCGAGTCAATAAGAATACCATATGTTATCCGTGTTGTGCGACCGCACCATTAGACGCGTTGCAGGAGGCAGCAAACTCGAGTTGTGCTCCGGTGTTGGTTCCTCGAGATATGCCAGGTTTGCTTGGTGGAGTGTCTGCGTGACCCGTCTACTGACGGATAGCTGGGCTTGATGACTTGCTTACGCGACGTGCAAACGGACCTGCTGTAGGCAATGATTACAAACACTTTGTGCCAGATACCAATACCTCTGGTTCCTGCGTTGAGGCCTGCTGCAGCGATGCGCGATGCATGGTGGGATCCCTCGGAGTGTCCGTTTGGTAGCAGCACCTTCATCCTCACCGTCGCTCCGTAAAATGTCATTCTCAACCCGCCTGCAGGCGTTGACTTTTGTCCCTAGCCAGCCAGTGGACATGCCACCCTGCACGGTGAGAGCGGCGTGCGCTCAACCTTGTTCTTGTGTGTTTATGTTTTTGCTCTTTTATTTCAAGGTGGCTGTGACTGAAACAAGGTCTTGCTCGTGCATACATGCCCTGTCGACTGATATTTTGTCCCAGGCGGGGCAGCCCTGCTGCTGGCTCAAGTCTGCAGCCACCCCGGATCAGGCTTCAAGTATTCCAGGTGTTGCTTCGACAAACGTGACACGGTACGACCATTGGCTCGCTCCTCTCGGCTCAGGAGCACGGCTCTCTCATGTGAAGCGTTGTGGATGAGCCCAGGTGGACAGTGATGGTGGATATCGAGGTCGTGGTGGACAACACGGTTGTTGAGGTCTACGTCGATGGTGGAGCTGCGGTGCTGACCTTGCCCGTCTTCCCTACCGTCGCCGATGTGA